CCTCAGAAACACTTTGTACTATCTCAGAATAATTTGCAAACGAGAATTCATGAACTCAAATTTTAGTGAGCCCATTTCTCCAATCCTGGCAACCCTAGAGTTTCTTTTGCAGAAATATCACCTAGATATTCTCACAATCATGGAACAAATTTACATGTATTTTTTTATTTCTCCAGCAACTTTGGTTGTAAAGACTAGAGAAGCATTTTATATACTTCTGTCACCTAAATGTCAGCTGCTCCTTCAGATCTAGAAGATATTGGGTCAAATTCCAGGCCATGACCCTCCTGAAGTTCTAGCAGACTCAGGCATTCTTGTGATCCCAGTTCCTGTCTCCATGGAAACAGTTTAGCTATAGATTTTTACCATCCTGGGCAAACTTTCCCTGTCTGTACAGTTTGATCTAAGGATGAAATTTAGTCCCTTTTTGCTGTGATTTTTACAAAATTCATTCATAAGATGTGTGTGTATGTTCAGCAGATTTTACCAAAGGTTTGGGGAAGATCGAAAGGTATTTACATCTCAAAATAGAAATAATGAGTATATACTCCAGCCTCCCACCACATTGCTTGACCTATTTCCTTCAATCCTTTCCCTTCTCTGCTCTGCTGACTCACCTGCTCCTCCCTCCAGGCCTATTCCTTCCAATATAGACGTAGTCTAGCCATCCTTGTTGCCTTGGCTTCGTGTGACCTTTGCTCGCAGTGACTCACCTTCTGTATCCCTTTCCTCATCCCCAAACGAACTTAGATATTTTCCTTAACATAGATGATTTCATTCAAGAATTATCCTCATATTCACTTTTAGGATAGTAACTTTCCCACCTTCCTATATTTTGGATCAGATTCTCTTGTTCATTTTGCTTTCAAAATTTATTCTCTCCTTCTTCCCAATTTCTTTTCCCTCCTCTCCCTCCCCCTCCATGAACAAACCATGCAGCTCTTGTCTCAAGCCTTTTTTCCTCCAAAGGCAGTCTCAAGGTTTCCCTAGAAGAAAATGGTAGAATTCCTTCTCATTGTGATGTGTGTGTGTACGAGCTGGTGATGATCTCAGCCTCAGTGTTCTATAGAATGGGGTGGGTGCGGGAGTTTTCTCTCTGCTCCTTCCCCAAGCACTCTCCCTTGGTCCTGCAATAGCAGCTTGGAACCCTACAATTATTTCTTCGAAAGTGGTTTTGCAGCCGTTCTTTAAGGCTTGATTTATACTTTCATGTTTAAATTACTGGGTAAAGGTAAAAAAAAGTGAGGTATAGTAAGTGAGGTACTTGTCATCACCTATATGTCCCGTGACTTCAAGTGAAATAATATATAGGAAACCAATTTTACCATAGGCTAATTGATATAAGTAAGAGTTAAGTTCCTACAGCATCTCATCAACATTATAATGAGATGTCATTGAATGAAACACAATGAATGAAACACAACTGAGTGAAATGGCATTGCTGAGGACCTGCTTTGTAGGTGTAATTAGGCAAACCTCAAAAGAGCAAAACAAAAACTTTTAAGATCTTACAAGCTGCTGTTATTTATAAAGATTCCACAAAAACACCTTTCCTTTTTTCTTCTTTAGGATTCCTGTCTGCCTTATTTATTTTTTATTTTTTTGTCTTCTTTCACTTTATTACTATACCTTTGAAAATACTGATCCTTCTCCCAGTTCTGAAACTTGTAGTGTTCAGAAATACTGTTTCCATTACACATGGAGGATAACTAACTTCCTCCCTCTCCTGTGGCTATTTTACTGTTTAAATCTTCACACTCTTTATCCTTGAACTCCATAACCCACCCGATTCCTTTTCATAATTCTAGATCAGACAACTTGCCAGCACATTCCTTGGGAATTCTCTGAGTTGCATCTCTCTGGAAGCTCCTTACTATGTTCTCTCAGCAGCATGAGCAGCTATTGTTCTTCGTGACTAAATTCTAGTATTTTTCCTACTCTGTGCTCAGTTCTGAGTAGTTTACAGCTTCTGGAAAATAGATCACTGTCTTTACCCTCCTGGGATTTAACTGGGCACATTTTAAAAAATATATCTTCATGAAGATTGAAAGAGAAACTGTGACATCAGAAGGCTGAAAGTAAAAGAAACTCTTGGAGATCGGCTACGCTGGGCCATTCTCTGTAAAGGCATCCTAGCAGAAACTTGGTGAACTGAGGAGACTGTGTGGAGTGATGGAAGAATACCAGGCTGTAGACAAGATAGGTGTAAATTCTCGCTCTATCATTTTCTGGCTATGTGAACTTGGGCAAGTAACTTACCTAAATTCTCTGAACTGTGGTTGATTTCTTCTTCTATAGAATGGGGAGAATATGACCTGCCTCCCTAGCATGGCAGACTGTAGCCGATCAGGCACCTTGGTGCAGAATATAAAAAGGCATCCCCACTGTGTGGCCATAGCCCTAGGGCATACAGCTGAGAGAATAGAACCAAGCAGGATTACAACCCATACTTGCCTGTTAGCTGGGCACCCTGGTACAGTGCATAACCTGAACTTATCCAGCCAACCTCCAGAGGTCTGTCGACTTCCGCCATTAGGAGCTAGCCTGTGGAAAGGCTGGGAGGGGGGACAGTAATGATCCTGCCTGGTTGCTTGGCAGATTTAGCACCTTTAAAAGGTGCCTGACTTTTTACCTTCTAAGTGATCTTGCTTTCACACCATTCTTCTGTATTTTCAACACGCCACTAACAATGTCGTATTAGCATATTAGCTCGGAGGTGTCACTCTTGGGGAAGGTGCTCAGGGAAGCACTTCTTTCCCTGCTGGTCTCCAGCCCCGACCTTCTGCCTATTTCTCAGATTGTGGAAGCATTTAGTGAGACCCCAAATGGGAAAACATCCAGAACATGACACAAACACTGAACTTCTTACTTGTTTCTCTTTTATATTCCTTCAAGATAGTCTGGCATTTGTCTAGGCTTTCTCCTCTTTTCTGTTCCTGGGGTTTCCATGATAGAATGCTTGACTCCCAAGATATATGAAGAATACTCCATGGAAACATGAGAAAAAAATTAAAACTTTTATTTATATTTATCTTAACGGGAAAGGAATTAAGCTCTTCTAATATTTGTCATAAGAATTGACAGTCCTTTCTGAATATAATTATGAATAATCATACATATACTAAGTGGGCATGACTCAACATTTTTTCTCTGACACAGGTAAGTGATAAAAATATTTGAAGACCACTGCTCCATTTTCACACCTCTGTAGCCACTGAACCCTCTGAATGAAATCACATTTGTTATTCTTCTCTGCCTTCTTTTGATTTACATAATAAGTAATTGCCCCCTGCTTTATCTTCCAGGACAGAGCTTTTCTAAATCTTGTGGCAAAACTTCCCCCTCTTCTCTTAACCTAATTTTTTCATTGTTTTCTGCTATGGGAGGAAGTGAGCTTTTCTCCTAAAACAATAATACTTTGTATAACGTGATTTGTAATTTAGGAGAGTCAGATTGGGACCTTTTTGGGTTAATCCTAGAAATTCAGTAAAATAAATTAAGAATGTGGCTCTAAGTCCAGGAGGCCTGGGCTAGATAACATTAGCAAGTTACTTAACCTTTCTGTGTTTTGGTCTTCTCATCCGTGAAATGGGAATAATAAGAGTACCTGCCTCATCAAGTTAAGGTGACAATTAAAAGAATTAATACCCATGACACTTTTAGAATAAAAGTCAGTTGTATATTAAACACAACAGAAGTTTGCTGATGTCATCACCATAATCACTATCCTTATCGTCATCCCTACCTAGGAGAGGTACAGTCCACCCCCAGATCTATGCAACTCTGAACTGGAAGTACCAGTTCTGGAATTATTCACTTTCTCAGCAAATATATACTAGTGATCTCATATGTATCAGGCCCTCTACTAAGCGTTGGTTGTCCACACCATTGTCAAACTTTATAATTCTGTCCGGGCCCTAGCAGTCCACTTTGCAATGAACTCAGTTTCTACTTCTCTAATCAAAATAAAGGACTTTGATGTTACAAAATAACTAAACATTTTGCTGTTGCAGAATCACTAAACACTGTGAATTTCCAGCCATTTGATATTTTAAGGTACAAGTAGACTTTCTCTACATTATTCATTCCTCATGTTATTGCTGTCAATTCCTTGGTTATTATTCCTCCTCTGAACTGTTTGCTTATTGTTCAAAGAATTCCACTTACATGTACTTCTTCCTGGGGATGATTCCTCCGATTCAAGGTGTATTCCGCCTCGTACTACCTAATCTTCAAAAAAGGATACATTCTCTCTTACCCAAATTGCAATCTTATGAGACTTCTGGACATTTTTACAGCTTAATATTCTTAGCAAACTGAAGGGTTGGTAGAGGGATAGAAGTTTTCAATGTAATATTTTGTATGAAAAACCAGCCAATTTAATATATAATTATTTTACTATTGAACAGTACTATATTCTTTCTCCTCTCTCTGAAGAATTTTTTTTTTTTTTGTAAAAGCTTAATAAATTTCTTTCATATTAAAGCTGCTCACATTCATCTATGCATGTAGTCCAGGATATGGGTAAAAAGAAAGGGGAAATGATAAAGTCAGGAATTTCATCCATGTTTCCTCCTTCCAGTCCTTTTACTTCTCGTACACAAGCTAATATACTCTTGGGAGCCATCCAATTCAAGATTGAGCCTAATAAAGGGATATACTTCCCAGACCCGTGACTGACTGATTCTCCCAGGCTCCAGTGAGGGAAAAAAAAAACAATGCAAAATTTAAAAAAATACATGACTGTTATTTAAATATTTATTTTGTCATGAATTGTTCTATGACTTAACAAAACTGCTGTCTTATGTCATCGCTTAGACATATATTTCATTTTTCCAACATGTGGGCTAAGAATAAAATCTTGATGCTGGAACTGAACATTTTATTCTCCAGACAAAGGAAATGGACATTTATTGGACGTTATTGCTGCTTTCTTTGCACTAATGCTATTATGAAAGCTCTTTGAATAATATAATTTGAAAATATTATTTCTGTTTCAGGTCATGCAAGACAAGATAATTTGCCTTCCGAAGAGAGTTCAACCTTCTCAGAACCACTCGTCCGTTTCGAATGCCTCTCAAGCAGTTGCCGGAACCACCCCACTGCCTCCACCTAAACCATCCCCGACTAACCCCGCCACCGTGGAAATGAAAGGACTAAAGACAGATCTGGACCTTCAGCAGTACAGTTTTATAAACCAGATGTGTTATGAGCGAGCCCTCCACTGGTATGCCAAGTATTTCCCTTACCTTGTCCTTATCCATACCCTGGTCTTCATGCTCTGCAGCAACTTTTGGTTCAAGTTCCCTGGCTCCAGCTCCAAAATAGAACATTTCATCTCTATCCTGGGGAAGTGTTTTGACTCTCCTTGGACCACACGTGCTTTATCAGAAGTGTCCGGGGAGGACTCAGAAGAGAAGGACAACAGGAAGAACAACATGAGCAGGTCCAACACCATTCAGTCTGGCCCAGAAGGCAGCCTGGTCAACTCTCAGTCGTTAAAATCGATTCCTGAGAAGTTTGTGGTTGACAAATCCACTGCAGGGGCTCTGGATAAGAAGGAAGGGGAGCAAGCAAAGGCCTTATTTGAGAAGGTGAAGAAGTTCAGGCTGCATGTCGAAGAAGGTGATATATTATATGCTATGTATGTTCGCCAGACTGTACTTAAGGTTATAAAATTCCTAATCATCATTGCGTATAATAGTGCCCTGGTTTCCAGAGTTCAATTTACAGTGGACTGTAACGTTGACATTCAGGACATGACCGGATATAAAAACTTCTCATGCAATCATACCATGGCACACTTGTTCTCCAAACTCTCCTTTTGCTACCTGTGCTTTGTAAGTATCTACGGGTTGACGTGCCTTTACACCTTATACTGGCTGTTCTACCGTTCTCTAAGGGAGTACTCTTTTGAGTATGTCCGGCAGGAGACTGGAATTGATGATATTCCGGATGTGAAAAATGACTTTGCTTTTATGCTCCATATGATAGATCAGTACGACCCTTTGTATTCCAAGAGATTTGCAGTGTTCTTGTCTGAAGTGAGTGAAAACAAATTAAAGCAGCTGAACTTAAATAATGAGTGGACTCCCGATAAACTGAGGCAGAAGCTACAGACAAATGCCCATAACCGGCTGGAGTTGCCTCTTATCATGCTCTCTGGCCTTCCAGACACTGTTTTTGAAATCACCGAGTTGCAGTCTCTCAAACTTGAGATCATTAAGAATGTAATGATACCAGCCACCATCGCGCAGCTAGACAATCTCCAAGAGCTCTCTCTACACCAGTGCTCGGTCAAAATCCACAGCGCGGCACTCTCTTTCCTGAAGGAAAACCTCAAAGTCTTGAGCGTCAAGTTTGATGATATGAGGGAGCTGCCTCTCTGGATGTATGGACTCCGGAATCTGGAAGAGCTCTACCTGGTTGGCTCTCTAAGCCACGATATTTCCAGAAATGTCACCCTTGAGTCTCTGCGTGATCTCAAAAGCCTTAAAATTCTCTCTATCAAAAGCAACGTTTCCAAAATTCCTCAGGCAGTGGTCGATGTCTCCAGCCATCTCCAGAAGATGTGCATACATAATGATGGCACCAAGCTGGTGATGCTCAACAATCTGAAGAAGATGACCAATCTGACAGAGCTGGAACTGGTCCACTGTGACCTAGAGCGCATTCCTCATGCTGTGTTCAGCCTGCTCAGCCTCCAGGAATTGGACCTCAAGGAAAATAATCTGAAATCTATAGAAGAAATTGTTAGTTTCCAACACCTGAGAAAGTTGACAGTGCTAAAACTGTGGCATAACAGCATCACCTATATCCCAGAGCATATAAAGAAACTCACCAGCCTGGAACGTCTGTCCTTTAGTCACAATAAAATAGAGGTGCTGCCTTCCCACCTCTTCCTATGCAACAAAATCCGATACTTGGAGTTATCGTACAATGACATTCGATTTATCCCACCTGAAATTGGAGTTCTACAAAGTTTACAGTATTTTTCCATCACTTGTAACAAAGTGGAGAGCCTTCCAGATGAACTCTATTTCTGCAAGAAACTTAAAACTCTGAAGATTGGAAAAAACAGCCTATCAGTACTTTCACCGAAAATTGGAAATTTGCTAGTCCTTTCCTACTTAGATGTTAAAGGCAATCACTTTGAAATCCTCCCTCCTGAACTGGGTGACTGTCGAGCTCTAAAGAGAGCTGGTTTAGTTGTGGAAGATGCTCTGTTTGAAACTCTGCCCTCTGATGTCCGGGAGCAAATGAAAACAGAATAACTTATTTTTGTTTAAAGTTTGACTGAAACATGCTTCTACCAAATACAGTATAAGTAATTAGGTAGTCTTAATGCCTTTCCTATTTTAGTTTTTTTTTTTTTCTTTTCACATGAAACAAATGTACACAAAGATTGAGTAAGGAGTATGTATTTTTTAATAAAAATTTAATTGTATTTTTTCAGTATTAATATTTTAAAGTTTTATTTGTCCTGGAACCTAATGTATCTATTATTGTTTTCTACTGACAGAAACAGATGGTTCCATCTGTTTTTTTGTTTTGTTTTGTTTGTGTTTTGTTTTTTTTTTTTTTTCCAGTTCATTCTTATGATAGGGAGGGAATTTTAGGTTGCATGCATTTTGGTATTTTTTAAATAGATGAAGACATTTTGCCAAGGTCATTTTTAGCTTGTTTACACCTGTACGGTTCCTTGTTTTTGTTGTCACTGTGTGTATACCAAGGAATCTGTGCTAGTTCTTTTAATACCAGCTGCCTTCTCCATTGGCCAAGCCCTTCATTCTATAGAAAACTCTCCTTTGGAGTTTAAATTCACATAAGTGCATTGTCACAGACTATTATTTTTTAATTTTCTTCCCAACTCCAGCAGAACTCTAAATTATATGATTTCATACACCTGACAGTTAAAGTTATCTGTAGGCAAAGATTTCGTAAGTGAGTAAAGACAATAACCTTCTATAGTTGGCATGCTTGAATTGGCCACTTATAATTCAATTGATTTCCATTTTTACCAACATTTAAAAATATTTAAAAACTAAATACAGAGGACCCCACACACACACACCTTTAATTTCAATGTAGCCATGTAGTACTGGTGAACAACCTTACAGAAGCTAGATTTATTTTAATTAAGATAAGTAATTAAATTTTAAAATCATAGAATTACAAGCCTGGTTTGAGTAATTTAATCATCTTTGATATCTTTACGTGTAGATACATCAGATGGAAAAAATTTCACTACTAAAGCATTTAAGGAGCTGGTGCACGCCAGTCAGGCAGTGTGGCAGTGGAATCTATTCAAATTCTGCCTGTTGCACAAAATAATCCATTTATACATACATATATATATATATATTAATCAATTTTCCTCAAGTCTGCGATTGCAAGTGATGCAAGCACAGGAACTCTGCTCTTATTAGCTTAAAATAAGTATCTCATATAAAATGGTTCTGTTACTTTTTTAAAAAATGTGAATAAATTGATAAATGGATTTCACTTGGCAATAATCTTTGCCTGATGGTCAGCAGAGCTTTCATTTGTCTTTGTACTTAAAAATTCATCATAGTATGAATCTTGGGCAAAAATTTTCACTAATTATTAAGATGTGGAACAGGAAAATAAAAACACTATTTGTGTCCTCAATCCAGGACCAGTACTGTTGATTATGGAATTTTGCTTTATTTACCAAATCACATTGACCATTTTCCAAGCCATAGTCTCATCTAAGAAAGTTCTGTGACTTAACAATGAGAAAGTAGGAAGATGATTTTAAAATTTACTCCTTGATCCCGGTGACTTTGCTTAGGGCTGCTTTGATTCATATATGGAACATAACTACAAGAACTACTCAGCAGATATATGTACCTCGATTGTGTTTTAAATGTTACGATACATCATAGGTTGAAGGATTTGGTAAAGAGAGGCTTTTCATTTATTTAATAATCAAATCATGTAAACCAAAGTGCTTCACTATTTCTGCCCTGTGTTAAAGTGTTAGATTGGTGATTTTGTAAAGCTGATTTATTTTGACCTGGAATTGATACGATACGTTTAAAATAGTAACATGGTTATATTACTTATAGGATAAAATATTCAGTTCTAGAATACTGTTGGGATCTTGACTTTGAATAATGTGCTGTATTTAGAAACATAGCTCTATCTGTTTTAAACAAAACAAACAAAAATCTGGAAGACTGTTCATAGCTGAGCATAACAAAATACCCTGTTGAAAGGTAAACTGAGATAACTACTGGTAAAACACTGAGTGCACTATTTTTTCCGTATAAAATATATAGTTATTTTCTATATCACCCTTCAAAAGGGATCTATCAGGTTAAAAATTATATTTATGCTTAAGTCTTTATCTGGTGTTAGCTCATAATCTCATATGGGTTCATAATTGAAGTAAGTCACTAATAATTAGTTTTTATCACTTATAACAATTTGCTCGAACCTTCAGAAGAATTTGATTTACTTTCTTAATGATTTCTCAGGCTTACCCTTAACCTATGTTCTAAATAACATCCAATAAATCAGTATTATTCTATGACTTTATGTTTTACCTAAAAAGGAAAATTCATAGATGTTTCTATTAGACTTTATAAAAATTCAAAATACTCAAACATTATCTTGAATCTAAATTTTCTGAGTGGCCCTTTTTAATATTGTAGATTTTGTTCACATTCTTAAGTAAAAAGTATTCAATTACTATTTAGCCTTTAAATGGGAAACTCAGGTAAATAAACTGCTGACTTTTCTAAGGTTCTTTAACGGATCAACTCCATATAAAAAGAATGTTTACCCTTTCTGTATTTTACAAGTGCTTTTGCTAAAAATGAACGACTAGCTCTATTTCTCCAACCTATATCAGATTCATGAAAAACTGCTATATATATATATAAGCACCATATGTACTCATAACTCCTATGGCTGCTTGAAGACCATAACGGGTATGCTTTTTGGTCAGTTTTAATGGTTAAGTGTAGAACAGTCTGGTAGAACAGTCTGGTTGAAACAGAACATATAAGTGTATACCAGTGGGACTCTCCTAAAAAGACCATGCTTCGGAAAACTAGTTATGTTTTGAGTTTTCATTTTGTTTTATATTTAACACACACTTTTAATATAAAGTTTTTTGATACAGTGAAACCTGTTATTTACAATTGTAAAGTCTTCTTATTGTTCACCCACTTTGTTCCCTGCCATTGCATTTCCCGTAGAGCTATTTTAATGAGTTCTAACAATTTACATGGCATCCTGCTTTTTTTCAGAAAAGCATGGAAAATATGCCTGCAAGGAGTATTTTGTTTATTTAGAAGTGATTCCTTCCTTATCTGTTTCTCAAGCCATCTTTGTAGAGAGGGGCTTGAACAACCTAGAATCTTCCTTGGGTTACTTGAGATGAGGAAAGTGCAAATTCTTGCAATGTGCTCTCATGATTTCTGATACTGAGAAGACAAAAATCTTTATATCTTTTCTTGTCATTTCCCCCAAGAGGAGTTTTGCTGTTATTTATTTCCCTAATTCTACTGTAAGAAAAGTCCATTTTTAAATAGTTTCTTTTACTCTCTAATTTCATACCAAATGCCTGATCCATAGTAATGATATGTTTACTTAAACAGTGAACATTCATAATCCATCTTTATGAAAACTGTCAGCAGTACTTAGCAGATAGATGAGACAAATTCCAGTATAATTTCAATTTGTATTTAGAGACTAAGATTCAATTCAGATTTTCCTATTAATACTGAATGTGATAATGCTATTCAAACAGTTCACATTTGGGCAGGATCTCAGTAACTCAGGGTAGGGATCCATACTAACCTGAAGTGAGCAAAACAGCACAGTCAGTGGTGAGGGGGATTTTGTCATCTTTCCTTGTCTATTCAGACACTTTACAAGAAAGCTTGGATAGTCTCAACCAGACCTACCACTGAGTTTTTAGAGTTAGGCCGCAGCGACATGCTTCTAATACAGTTTTGTACCAGCCTTCCACACCAAGGATCCACTCTCACTCCGCCTTCCAAAGCCATCCACTGATAAAGGCAACATCCTTAAGCTCATTTTAGGAAGAGGGAAGAGGGTCTCTTGCCCCAAGGATTTTTTTTTTTAATCAGAAGACCTCGACAAGGGGTATGTAACTTGGAAAACCCTAATTTCTTAGCCATATTAATAGTTCCTACACATGGTTTTTAATGTAGTATAATTTGCTTTCTGCTGAATATCTTTCCCTCTCCTGCCTCATCTTACCTCTTTTCATGAATATTTTTACTGGGTTTCAAACTCAATGCCTTATGTGCTCTCAGTTTTCCTTCTGCCACTTGTTTTCTCTCACCGCCTGTATGTGTGCAGATTGTGTCAAATGCTGGCAAATCTCTAAGACTGTCAAGAAAATGCTTAAAAGTTGATTTGTCATCGTGCAAATTCATGATAAAATGTCTTAATGTTATTTGGCTACATAGTACATAGGAATAAAAAAATAAAGTCTTTTTGTTATTTAAAATTGAGATTTGTCTCTTATTAATTTGGAGAAGTCCTGTTTATCTTTTGCATTTCTGTTGTAGTTTTGCATGTTCCGTTACTAAGGCTCCCTGTACTCGGCAGGAAATGGGCTGCATGCATTCTTTCACTTTGTGTTTAGCAGTTTCTGCGATGGTGACTAATTATTTCCTTCCTTCATTCACTGTGCTGCATCTACCCAAGGTGCCCCTGGAGTTTCATTTGGGTAATTAGTGCCCAAATATATAATCGACAGTGCAATTTCTGTGCATTTGCCAGATCAGATTGCACGATTGCTGCCCAGCCCAGCTCTCAGTAAATACTTGGTGACAGGGATTGCGGTTACATACAGGAATCAGAATGGTTCTGCATAGCTAGGAGACCTCTCCTACTTAACCACAATACACTCCAGGCTTAGGGAAGCCCTTTATAAGAAAATTTTGAATGCCACTTGTACATAAGAAAATTGTAATTGGTAACTTTCAAAGCTAAATTGTGATTTTACATATTTTTCTACAGTCATTTATGGCTCAGTTATTTTACTGATAATTAACTGATAGTCCTTTGAGGGGCTGTTAAGATGAAGAAGGATTATGAGTGTGGTGAGAGAGGCCATGCAAATGTGTGTATCAGAAACTTAGAAGGGAGTGAGTGAGAGCTCTGGAGAAATATTGGAGACAAGAGCTGAGAAATGCAATAGATTAGAAACATCTGGTGATTTCAGTGCACTGCAGTCAGTGCTCTGTCCGCTGCCACCTTTCGCCCTTCCATCTTTCGGTCCTTTCATGTTTGCAGAATATTAAGATAAATAATGAAATTAAATATGTTGATTCAGTTACTTATTGTTGGCTAGCAAGATATAAGCATTTTGGTTTGGGTGGAAAAGTATGTGAAGAAGGAAGTCACTAAAGCCAAGTTTAGAGTTAGGGAGGTATTTACCTAGTCATACTACAGCCTGTGTTTTTCTGAAAGTAAGTTTGTATATCTTTCTAAATATTCATATAGGAAAAAAGTGGAAAACTGTTCATAAGCTGCATTTTTGTGTAAATCTCTGAATACAGGTTATACTTTAGATTTCATATTTAAACATATGTGAACAAATTGTAGTGCAAATAAACATGATCAGGCATACTATAAATGATAAAGTACTTATCACAGAGTTTGAATATTTTGCACAAAAGACACAGCGTCAGGCAATGGTATTATTGTCAAACGTCTAAACGAACTGGCTATTCTGATGATTTTGATTCATAGATTATTCTGTTATAAAATTTGGGAACAAGTAGAAGATGGTCTTTATTTTTTAAAAATCCTTTAAGGAATTTTATTTCAAATCAAGTAACTCTAAACAACATCGTTAAAAAAATGGTTCAATTCCTGTGAGTAGTCTGAGGTAATATAGGTCTTGGAAAAAGTGACACAAAAGAGGCAACATACAAGTTTTGCATTTTATATGTCCTCCACAGCTCTTCTAAGAAAAAAAAAAATCAAGTTCCCAGCAGCGATTATGATGTAGAAATAAAATTATAACATTTCTTCTATTTGATTTGCTAAGATTCTTGGGATTCCCTTACTTTCACATAGACTGCGTGGAATAATTTCTTAAAATAATGCTCCAAATAACATTTGGACAGCTTTGAATATCTCAGGCTGATTTAATCCAAGAGTAACTAAAACAAATGCAAAAACATGAAAGTATAGTCATTGTAGTTTTGAAGAATAAATGCCTATGAATTTGTGAAATAGTTGTTGAGTTCTGTTTGTGCCCATTGCATTAAAATAAATTATATTTCTTAGTGACTTAAATTGCTCTATGAAAAATATGACGTAGCCAAGCTCAACAAAAACCTGAAAGACCATCTACATCAATAATCTCTTACAGTGTTAAAGAAAAATTTATTCTGACATTTGTTAAAGTGATAAGGAAGACTTTATTCAGGACTTATTACTTATTCAGGATATTTTTTTAACTCTCCCCAGGTACTAGCCCCTGGTAGTATGACTCAGACTTTCTGGGTAGTCACATTCTGAGCCTTAACAATATCAGCATGCTAACGGATTCAGTTGTTCTCTACATCTAGGAGCAAAGATAGGATGTTGACAGCCTTTATGAGGAAGTGTTTAAAATGAGTTCATGCTCATGAAATTGAAAACTAGAGATTCCGCTTCAATCGGAGTAGCTCAATCTAAACATATAGCTACATAAATATTTTAAATCCAGATAACTTCTCAAACTGAATTGGTGTCAAATGGGAAATATAAAGAATGCCATAGGGGTTAAATACCTGATTTAAATTACATAAGACTTTTCCGTTTGTTTGTTGAGGGGAGGTGGGAAATGGAAGCGTGACTTGCTTATGTGGGGATAGAAAAATAATTTGCCTTCTACCCTTCTAAGTTCTTTTAGCTAGAATAATAAATTAACATAAAACAGAATAACAGGAAAAAGTGACCAAATGTATTATGTTGTACATAAGTAGATTCTATAGGTATAAAAGCCCCAAAGACACAAATATGCCACTCTGGGCTAAGGAGACAGAGGGAGGGGTCTAGGATTTCCAGGGGAAAGCAGGAAATTAACAGGCAGATGAGAAAGAGCAAACGTGTGGTAAGTTCTTGGCCACCTAGAAACAATGGGACACAAAGGGGAATCTAACGGGCAGACCTTGCTGGTTTCTCCCTGTCTGCCTCATTTAATTCAAATATGCTAAGGTGAATCTGCTAAGGCCCCTTTCCCACAGCAGGTTTTTCTATCTGGATTTCTCAGGCAGGTAAAAATCTCTTCTTGAGTTTTTTGGGCTTTAATTGTTTTCACCTTGAAATACTCTACATGCCAGGGTGGCACATTCTGAGAAATTCATTCTGGACCCCTACACTTAACAGGGAGCCTCCTGATAAAAGATGCTCAATGCACTTTCTAAAATTTAGGCTGATTTGTTGCCCTTCAAATTCTATCAATGACAATGTCAAAATAATTAAATCTCAAATGCAGCAAATCAGCTAGACAATTATTTTCAGATAGCTTTCCCTAACTTGCTAAGTATAAAACTGCTAAAATAGAAAAATAAAAGTTTTTTTTTTTTTTTAAAGAAACTGCCAATGACTACTGAGTGTTTTAATTATAAATCTGATCAAGCACTTGCATCAGAAATGTCTGAGAGTTGACTCCAAAATCTTTGGTAGATGCTGATAATGGCATTCTTAATAGCTCTGACTACAACATAGTAAACCATTATAGTGCTTTAGATAGGCCTGGCAACAAAGGAGTGACACTTGCTCTGTGCTGCTTGAATTGATAAGACGGGAACCATAGAGTATTCGATATTCATATAAATGCCTCCTCTATCTTCAGTTCTGTCCATCTAAATCTAACTTTGGCTCTACTTGTTAAGATCACTGAGATTTTTTAAAAGTTATAAAACTTTATAATTTCTCTAACAGTTTCTACCTGCCTCTCTATTTAGGGCACTGATCACTTGTACCAAGGTTATTTTAGGAACTATCATATCTCTCCTTCCAGAGTTGGAGGCCCAGTGAGTGCAGAAACCAAGCCTTATTTATATTTAGATTTCCCTAAAGTGCTTCCCATTATTACTTACATGACACGGACTCTGAAAAAATATTGCTGAGTCAATCAAGAGACCTAACTATTCCCTGAGAGCCTTGAAACTGTGAAGGGCCATCATCCCTGTTCAAACTGCTTCCTGGATGTGCTATTTTCCTAGGACTGCTATTACAAAGTGCCACACACTGGGTGGCTTACAAGCAGGACAAACAGAAATTTATTGTCTCACAATTCTAGATGAAGATGTTCTGAGGGCTGTGAGAGACAGTCTGTTCCAGAACTCTCTATCTTTTGGTGGTTTGCTGGCAATCTTTGGTGATCCTTGGCTTGTAAATGCATCACCTGGATCTCTGCCTTCACCTTTTTATGGCATTCTCCCTATGAGTGTCTATCCCTATGTCCAAACTTCCCCTTTTTATAAAGACACTATCACATTGGATTAGGACCCACCCTAATGACCTCATCTTAACTCAGATCATCTGCAAAGACCCCTTTTCCAAATAAAGTCACACCCACAGGTGCTGGGGTCAGGACTTAACATCTTTAATTGGGATACAATTCAATCCGAAACACTGGGCAATATGTTTCTCTTTCTTGATGAAGCTATTACACACCATGTTTATTAGAAACATTAAATTTAGATCCCTGAAGATTGGCTAGTCAGAGGTTTTCAGAGTGCTTTAGGGAGCTCTAACTCTCCAACAAAATAGCTCAGGAGGACTCAAGACCAAGGGCTCTTGGTTTCATATCTGTTCCAATTACATTTGCCATGTAACGAACCACCCAAAACTCAATAGGATGAAACAACTATTTTATTACACTCTCAGATTCTTTCGGTCATGAATTTGGACAGGACACAACAAAGACAGCTTATCATCTCTGCTCCACAATGTCTGGGACCTCAGTTGAAAAGACTCAAGAGCGGGGAGCTGGAATCATCTGGAGGCATCTTCCCTCCCACGTCCAGCACTTGATTCTGGCTGTCCGCTGGAACCTCAGCTGGGCCTCTCCACATAGCCTGGGCTTCCTCACAGCAGGCAGCTTCGGGGTGGTCAGAGACCTTACGCAATAACATAGAGCTCCAAAGCGACTATTCCTACAGAGAGACTAGACTGACTGTTGCCTCACCTTTCATGACCCAGCCTCGAAAGTCTCATATATCACTTCTGCCTCACTCTATTTCTTGAAGCGGTCATAAATCTTGCCCAGTTTAGGGGCTGAGGAAAGGGGACACAGACCTCATCTTTCAATGAGAGGAGTATCAATGTTACATTATGAGAAGGATATGTGAGACAGGAAACATTGTGGCCATCTGTGAAAAATACAATCTGTCACACTATTCACACCAGCTTCTTCAAACATTGGACAGCATCTCTCTTTGACTCTTTAATATTTACTAGCAATTGTAGATAAGAAATGCAGGATCCAGAGAGCCCAAGTAAC